GAAAAAAAAAATCACTGCAATTGTTATAATTAAATTAACAGAAATGAATTCAATAATATAGTTAATATTTTAAATAAATAATATAACTTCAACCCTATATATTTTCATATTTTAAAGCTGGATGTAGTTTGCACTTTCAAATAATAATATGCTAAAAAATCAAGGCACAGTTTAAATCTCTTGAGTATGAATTGTGATAGAATCAAAGAATCACAACGTGGTTTGAGTTGCAAGGGACCTCAAAGACTGTCCAGTCCCAACCCCCTGCCCTGGGCAGGGACACCTCTCACCAGAAGAGGTTGCTCAAGGCTTCATCCAACCTGGCTTTGAACACTGCCAGGGTTGGGACAGCCACAGCCTCCCTGGGCAACCTGTGCCAGTGCTTCATCACCCTCAGAGGGAAAAACTTCTTTCTATTATCTAATCTAAACCTACTCTCTGTCAGTGTGAACCATTAACTGCAGAACTACATTCAAGCAGAATGACAGAACTCACAGTGAGCATGTTTGTGTCTATGTCTGGAGGATCCACCAGTCTGGCCACTGACTCCATGAAGACAAAGAAAGCAATGACCATCAGAAAAAGGCCATTAATAAAACCAGAGAGAATCTCTACACGTCCATACCTGAAAGCAAACACATGTCCTTTTGAGAGTGAAGAATGTGTGCCCTGAACAAATGTCGAAGTTATAATAAATAAGTTATAATACACTTAATACAACATTAAGATTGCTATGATTTTTCCCCTCGATGCCAGAAAATCATGCCTCAGTTTCTGAGTTATTCACATCTGATCAAGGGGTTGCCAGTTTGCCACTCTCCAAACTCCAATAGTATAAAGCAATAAAAATTTAAGCATTTTTTTATATCTACTGCCCATCCAGGGCTGAAAATTGCTAAACTGCTATGCATTTTAACCATATAAATTCTGATTGTTTCAGCACAATCTCAATGAACACTGACTTTTACCATCTATTTTTGTTTGACATACATGCATGTACTGAATGAGGCAACTTCTCAATAATATACACAGTGACAAAGTTTTACCTTGTAGAGGCAAATGAAAATTAAATTTCAGTCACATTTTTTTTCAGGGCTAAGAAGGGAATAGCATGAGCACAAATGGAACAGAAGAGGCACAGCAAAATACCCACAAAAACATGCACTGTTAAAGCATTCCAAACACATCAGGGCACTGTGAGAATGAGCAAGTGATGTTCAAACAGCCTTTCAAGAGCCCAATATACATACCCATAGGAGAATATACGAGTTGCTTTCCATCTCGTCATCAGAGCTGCAAACAGCCCCATCACCAAGGCAGAGCAGTCAAAAAGCATGTGAAATCCATCAGAAATAAGACCAAGGCTGTTGGTCCACACTCCATAAAATAGCTCCACAAAAGTGAAAGCCTGAAATGAAGTAAGAGTTTCAATTTTTTTCCTCAAACATGACCTTGTCTATTAATGTTTTGGCATCCAGCAGGAAATTTCTTCTCACAGAACACTCAGTATTTTTCGAAGGTATTGTTCAAGGGATTTCTAAACCATTTTTTTCTCTCCCCAGTGGAACAAAAATGATGAAGTCCAAGTCTGTGAAGAGATATTTTTGAACCTACACCTAAGAAAACAACCCTCTGCAGGAGCAAATTTAGGTTTTCATTTAGAAAATTATTATTTATTAGAAAATTATAATTTTGTTTAGAAATTCTAAATTTTGAATTTTTAACATTCTGCAGACAAAATTGTAAGCACTTTTTTCATTAAACACTGCCAGAGCTCTGATCTGACACATTTTTAGTGTAAAAGTCTATAATTATGTAAACATTTTCTTCACCATTAACTTGACTGTTTAACTCTTAGGAATTTATTTTGAGAAGGTGCACAAGGAAACATTTACATACATATTCCCTTACAATTTACTAGTATTAATCCATCTGCCTAAAACCTTTTCTCATCTTTCATATTCCATAATGGAATTCCTTAAGTTTATTGTGGATACTTCAAGTTTCTTCCCTTATTTTCTTGAGTAATTGCCAAGGAATGAAGAGGGATCTTTGCAGATGAGGTTCTACCAATCTTGCTTATTGCACCATCTTTTCCTAATCAAGAGAAGTCAGAAACAAATCCAGTCAACTCTAAAGTTACCCTGATCGATCCAACACCTATTTTGTCATCGTCATCCTTGAAGGCCTTATCAGCTTCAGCTTATCTGCTGGCAACATTGACATATCTCAACCTTGAATTTACCATCAGACCAGTGTTTAGTAACAGCTACATACAGAACCAGTGCTGCAGTGTGACAACACATCATAGGGACTTGCCACTTACCGTAAGATTAGCTTAAGGATCTTCTGTTTTAACACCCCCCATAATGAAACTACTCTGTCACAAGTCACTTTAAAAACAACTGATTGTTAATTCATGGAGTGATAACTATTCTTATATATACATACTATGTATGCACTACTGTGACTGGGTTTGAAGAGAAGAAAACATGCACTTACCAGATTTAGGCACAAGAAATAGAAGATCTGCCTAGAATCATACTCCTCAAGGATCTGTTTCAGAGACTCTTTAATAAACCTGGGCAATGACTGAGAGCTCTGCTGTAGTGCATCACCCATGAAGTTATAGAGAGGAGTGCCTTCAGGGGAATAGCCAATAAGGGTACCCTTCTGCCCTTTCCTGGAGGGGGAGGACAGGATATTGGCAGCTGCAAAGGAAGTATTGAAGTTTTTGTTGCTTGTTTCTAAGCTCCACAGCTATTTCATCATGTGCTTAATCAGCAATCAAAGTTTACATGAAATTTACAGGCAGCAAAGTGATTGTCAACTTCATCTTGAGGTTTACCATTAGATCCCATTGCTTTGTAAGATTACATCATCACTTCCACAACGGAACAGATCTATTACCTTCCTTTTCGTAGACAGACAGTAAAAGAGCACAGATCTACAGGCCCTCTTATCCAAAAGAATTCTGCACACCTCAATTTTCTGCCTGCTTTCCCAGTCACATGGACAAGAGATTGTTTAGACTCTTGAGAAGAATACGTACACAAAATGAAGAAGACAGCACTCACTACCACCCCTCCAGAAAGAACATGCTCTGTGCTTTCATGGTGTGGTGGCTTGTTCATAGCTCGAAGTTGGTCTGTTATTGGATGTGTCCAGAAGTTTCCAAACAGCAGTGCACTGATGAAAACAAGGAAGGATCCGTATCGAGCGCACGTGGAAGCTTCCATCTTCACAGAGCATATGGACTCCACGTAGAAGTCCAGGATCACAACAAAAAAGATGACTGTTATGAAGGGCATGATGAGAGAAGACCAAGACTCTACTTTGCTCTGCAATGAGAAACCACATTTCAAACAGCGCTGTTTACTATTAGATGTGATTGCATTATACATCATTAATTTGCTTTAATTACAAATGTTTTCAGTAATCCATCAAAACATAAACACTTCTACACTTTCATATAAAACCAACATTACACATATAGAAAGACACATATCTCTAATATGCACTACAGTACCTTATTTTAAATACTTACATGCACTAAAAAGCAATGCATATGTCATGCTGGCAATGCACTACTCTCCCTGTCCATGCAGGTGTGGTTTACTCTTATATCAACACCTTCTCAGCTGCTCCATATTGTTTTTTTTCCTGCTTTAGTCCTCAATGCAGCCACTTTAGCAGCAAGACTAAGCTAACAGGAAGTTGAACATGAGCCAGCAGTGTGCTCAGGAGGCCAAGAAGGCCAATGGCATCCTGGTCTGGATCAGGTCAGCAGGACCAGGGAGGTGATTCTGCCCCTGTACTCAGCACTGGTGAGGCCACACCTTGAATCCTGTGCTCAGTTCTGGGCCCCTCAGTTGAGGAGGGACATTGAGGTGCTGGAGCAGGTGCAGAGAAGAGCAACGAGGCTGGTGAAGGGACTCGAGCACAAGTGCCATAAGCAGAGGCTGAGGGAGCTGGGGGTGTTCAGCCTGGAGAAGAGGAGGCTCAGGGGAGACCTTATCGCCCT